AACGACAAATTAATTAAGAGATGAAACTAAAAGAAAAAACAGAAAAGGAATTAAGTACAAAGAAGATATCCTCCAGAAGCACATTACAACAAGGAGTAGCTCTCTGAATGTTATTCAATTTTTGAACCAGCTTATCATTGGCCAAGTTGCAGTTGATTGAGTCCCAACCTGCTTGTTTAGCTTTCATCAGGGTCCATCTCACGGCCTCAAGCAACATTTCTTCTTCTTTTAAACCAATAAATTCACTCAAAGTGAGTTTTTTTTAGTTAACTAGGGTTAATTTAGAAAAAAATGGTATAGTTAGTTGTTAGTGAAAATTTGAGTTTGTATTAAAATAATATTTAAAATAAAATAATTAAAGTTGATTTGATGTAAAAGTAAAAGAGAGATGATATGAAATGATTGTTAGTTGCAATTATGTGAGTGGATGAATAGTGAATTAAAATTGATATGATTGATTATTATTATTTGATTATATTGATAATATTGAAAATAGTGGAGTTTAATCAAAATTGAGTTAGATTTTGAGGATGAATTAATTTGGATTGAGATATTTGATTTACAAACACACATATGCTCAAAATTGAAGTTTTTCTTTTCTCCCACTGAGAAAATATGTGTATAACTACACATAAATACTAGACCTCAAATATTAGAACAGAAATAACAGGAATTTATGAGACGGTCATGCAATAAATCTGTAAGTTGATGGATGTGTTCATAATGACGTCTGAAACAAACTCCTGACATTGTTTATAATATCATAAAAGCACACCTAGTTAGTTGTATATGTAAGGCGAATAGAAACCGTAAGGAGATCAATGCAATGTTCCCACAATACCAGAAATTAATTCATAATCCCATACCTAACCACAACTCAAGTCTAAATCCTTTACAGAAAACAGAAGGTTTAGTTTGTTAAGTCAGAGGCCCTCCTCCTGTCTTTCACACCAACTAATAAGAGAAATGTTGAATAAAATTAAAATTTAAAACTGCTGCTTCGTGAAACTATATACACATTTACTACTTTCCCTAAATATCAAATAAGACTTGCATTGATCTGCGGGGTGCTTGAATCACACAATCTGTCAGATCCATCCTCCAAGCCATCAGCAATAGAAAAAACTCCAGTATCGATTAAAAGATCCTTAATAGGCAAAAGATCGGTCGTTTCATTACCATCCTCAACACCACCATTAATATGCTCAGTATTCCCATCATCATTATAATCATCGGCAGCAGAAAGGACTTTGGTATCAGATTCTTTTGCTCCACCTAAAAGAGCTTCGAGGGGGGTTTTAGTAATGGCAGACATGTCAGACGTGAATTTCACTTCCAAAATAGGGAACTCAAAGTCCAACATGGAAGGAGATGAAGTGTCACAGACAATTGGAATCTTATCATGTTTTTCTGGATCTTCAGATATACTTGCTGATGCAATTCCTAAACCCCGCCTCAAAATCAAGTCATCACCATCATCTGGGTTCGAATCAGCCGTTTTCCCTGGATTAGTTTCATCATAAATACCATCAATCCTATTTTTCCTAGCTTCCATGGAGCCCTTGTCTAGGTCAGGTTTAGCATCAATACAAGTCTTGACAGAACTGAAAACAGTATCCCTTTCAAAGTCACCATCCACTTTATTTTCTTCAAAAGCAGCAGGGAGGCCAATATGAGATTCCGACTCAAAGTCGTGGGCACTCAGTTTTTCGCCAAAAACACCGCCTTCATGTTCATCATTCTTAATTTCGGAATCCGTGCCCAAAGGGATCGGGGCATAATTCAAATATTCATCATTGCTGTTTTTCTCTTCAATGAATTCAGGAGCCCTACATGTAAAGCCATGGCCATTCTGCAAAGAATCTCCATTGACATTATCTGCTGACAGGAATTCTTGTACTTCGATTGTGATAGAACCAGTATCTTCTTGATTGTTTCCCTCATTAACTGTTCCGGAAAAGATTGAAGATGCTTGACCGTCAGATGGATGAATTCCAGCAGTGGATAAAAACCCATTAAGGGCAGCCGCTAAAGCATCATCAACTGACAAAGCTTTCTTCGGTTCCACACTAGGAGATTCCTTTGCTGGTTCAAAGTCTTCTTCATCTTCTTCACATGGGAACTCAGGTGCACTAACTATAAGACCAGGAAGAAAATTTGCATCATGGGTTAACTTGGCCATGTTATTACATAACGAACCCCTGGTTTCAAGCTCTGATGCCCTAGAAGCTGGTAAATCACTTTGCTCGGCGTTGAATGAGCTTGAATTTGATTCACAGTATGAAAATGTAGGGGCACAGATTTTCGTGCCACGTGGCAAGGCATAATGATTAGTATTATCAGTAAGTTTCTGAAGTTGATGCTCGACCATTTGAAGCCTTGCCTCTATGCTTTCAATGGGCTTCATCATTTTTTCTTCGAACCTCAGGCAAATATCTTCCACTCTGCTCACTCGAGAAATAAGCTGCTCCAAAGCTCTTTCAAGGAGTACTGGAGGTGAATCCTTCATGTTTACAGGCTCCACGTATTTTGTTACAGGATCTTTCAAAATATCCTTCTCAAGTTCTTTTGGCTTCGCATATTGTTTATCAACTTGGTTTATTTGTGAGAGGACCTCACTTTCATCATTCCTTTTGGAACCATTTTCCATCTTATTATTCCCGAACCCCTTACCAGCAGCATCCATCTCATTGTCCTTAAACCCTTTAACAGAACTATATTTGTCTTGAACATGGTGTGCACCTGATTTTGACAATTGCAGAAGAGTGGGGACAAACATGGCCATTAGAGAACTTTGAGTGGAGCTTCCTGCCAATACCGTCTCATTTCCTGCTTCAGTCGACTCCACAGGGTCCGCAAACACATAAATTTCATCAACATACACATTTCTTTTGTCCTGAAGGGACAGCAACCTAATTGTAAGCACCGAGCAAGGATCTGCATCGCTTATCTGTGCTGTAGCCTCATAAAGATCCTGCAGGTAGTAATATCCCATGAATTTCTTGCCCATACAA